GAAAAATTTCACGCAGGAATCAAATAGTGTGTAGTTGCACTGAGAGATGGAGATGAGGAGCGCCACCACGGAGAGAATGTAAGACACAGAGAGAGTGAGACAAAGGACAAAATATATATGTTATCCGGCTGTTAAGTTAAAAACCACATTGATATTCGCCGCCGCGCGATACAGATTCCGATTCCGATTCCGATTCCGATTCGTCTTTTTCATTTCTTCGTCGTCGTCTTTAGTGTGTTGGCCATTTTACTTACTGCCTCGTCGGCCATATATGAATCCGGCCGTCAAATATATTCAATATGAAATTTGGCCAGGCATGTGATGTGTGCGTGCGATGACAACGAAACTGGATTTATCCAGATAATTGCATTACTTAATATCCTGGGTTACTATTGCCACTGTTGTGTTACTGCCTCAGCCGCTGCCGCCGTCAATGATAAAATTTGCCTATTTTTTTTATATGGAGCACGTGTTTATGCTATATTTAAGCGACATCTTGGCACTGAATGCTGAACTATGAAACTCCGTCAATTATCAATGACAGCAACCAATGACAGCTACAATTGAACGTATTTGTATGGCAAAATACTTGCTACTTGCAGATGGCGCCAAACTAAACGTCATTGCCGCCGCCGCCGTTGTCGTCGTTGCTGCTACTGCTGGTTACAAGATTTACTGCCATTTGTCGTCGCCTGCAGTTAACCATGGACCAAATACTCAAATACTATTTTTCATTCGATGGCGGCTGCCTATTAAGACAGGCAGCCGGCCATCATCACCCATCCCATTTTGCACTTGTGTGTGTCTCTCTCTCTCTCTCTCTCTCTGTGTGTGTGTGTGCGCACTTTGAACGCCTCAAAAAACAATTTACAATACATCCGAGTCGCAAAAGCGAAATATACGCATAAAACGGCCCTCACTCACTCGAACTAACTGCAAACTGATGTTTCGATGTGCATGGGCGAGCGACCGAACGAACGAACGAACGACCAAGATATGTATGTAATAATGCACAACAAGATATATATTGACTTTTCCGATAATTTTTTTTTCTGTCTCCACTCCGTTTTCTTTTCTTCTTTGCCGTTTTTATTGTTGTGTATGTGTAGTTTTTTTTTATTCGGGTGTATTTTCAAGACTTATTTTAATCTTAGTTCTCCATCTAACTAACATTCGGTCTTTTCGTATTAATTTAATTCATCCTTCGTTTGTTCTTGCCTTGCACAGCAGCAGCAGTAGCAGCAGCAGTAGTAGCAGCAGAGCACTTGGTTCGTTTGATCTACATACATGTAGATAGTGTGTGACTCTGTGTGTCGGTCGGTCGGTCGATTGGTTGGTTGTCTCTCGGTTCGCCAATTCATATGCGGACAATTCTCGCACACAATACCAACTATACTGTTAGTATTGTGTTGGCATGGATCGCACATTCGTTCGTTCGTTCATTCGCTGGATTGCTTTGCAATTGTGTGCTTGGCTTGAATTATGTAATTTTTGTGCCTAACAGAAAAATCGAGTATTTTTCCACTGAATTTCTCGCATTCTCCGGTCAGACGGAGAGCAGTGGCTCATTCGCTTTTTGCTCTTATTTTCGTCATGTTTCGCTCGCGCTTTTCCTCTCTCTCTCTCTCTCTCTCTCTCTCTCTCTCTCTCTCTCTCTCTCTCTCTCTCTCTCTCTCTCTCTTTCTCTCTCTCTCTCTCTCTCTA